CCCTTCTAATGAGATACCTTCCAAAAATAGTACATTGATGTTGAAAGGCCTGTAGTCTTGAAATGTTCTTCTTGCAATGGCAAGAGCATGTGGAAAGCCTCTTTCCAGTCCCTTTACCAATTTCCCCCAGAGTGAGAGAGTGTTTGACTTGTCTGAGGAACTGAGAGGTGAGCATGGATGGAGCATGGTGCAGAAATGGGGGAGCAAAAGGAGATAGGCAGAGACTGAGGGAGGTACCGGGTTACAAAGGGCATTCAAGTTCAAGAGGTTGGATTTTATTCTGAGAGTAGTGTGACAACCATGGGGCAGCAGTTAGTCAGCAGAGGTTTAAGTTGTGACTGCCCTGGAAAAGATAAATGGGCATGATAGTGGAGGTGGCTCTTCACTTACATGGTTGAAACAGCCCAGATGATGAGTTACACCCATTCACCTGCCTGGCATTAGACTTATGAGTGCAGGCAAAACAGCCAAAAGAAATAACCAACCACTTCAATACTAGATGTGGAAATGCTTTTACATGCATTGATGTAATATCACAAGAAGTTATTCCACATCAAATGGGTAGAATGAAGACAGGAGTAAAAAAACATGGGAAAGGAGATATATTAAAATGCAAAGGCAGAAAATACTAAGATGAAAAGGGGAGCAGAAGGAAAATGTAAGAAGATGATGGAATATGCCAAGATGTTTTCTTTCTGTTAGATTATTAATGGGCAATCAAATAGGAAACAAAAGCATGCTAAAAATTGTTTAGAGTGCCTGTTAGTGCCGTTCCCATTTTCCCCCGATGTCTAATTTTTTACCTTGTGTTTCACATGCAAACCCACAATAAGAGGGGGAATCTACTTGAAGAACTGAGGTAAAGGCAAACATCCTCAAGATCTTCTCAGCCTGGCTTTGCCAGCAAGGTGACTTTTCCCAAGTTCAAATATATGGTAAAAACATTATTTTAGTAAAATTATTGTGAAATGAACAAATAACAAAATAAAGAGTGGTGAGGACTGGAAATAGAAGAAAAAGGCAATTGGGCAAAGACTCAAATCTTGAGTTTCAGTTAGACTCTCAGCCAACAATTGTCCTTATTACTACCATATGACCTAGTTACAATCCAGCATATCATCACCAAATAAGTGTCAGATGGACTGGCATTGTGGCATGGATTAATCACTAAATGACTATTACAGCAATGATTATGAGTACATCCTCTTGACCCAGAAGACATATGGAGAGGAATGCATAAGGTGTGTGATGTATGTGTGTGTGTATGTGTGTACATGTTTGTGTATTCACGTGTGTGACCAATTGAAAGCAGAGTCCTCAGTGATGTGATAATAAATATAACTGATAAAATTTTATTTTCTTGACAAGTATACATATCCATTGAAAGAATGGAAAAATATATAAAGTTACATTATGGTTCATTTAAAAATTATAAATTTGTAATAAAAGTTAATATTTACATTCCTTGAATCAGTTCATGGCATTTTCACTAAAAAATACTGAATGATTGTGAAACATTAAAATCAGATAAATCTGGGATTGCTTTATCTGTTCAGTCACAAGTGAACCATCTTATATATGAAACATATGACATTTCAATCAACAAAAATTAAAACCGCATTTTCCCCTTCAGTTAACCTGTTTCTGATGTAAAACACCATGTCAAACAAAGTTTAATTATTTGAACTATTGGGGCATTTATGGGTGATAAGCAGTTTCCAAGTAGAGTTTTCAACAGAGATTCCCAGAAGTAGCACAGGAATGCTGTTTTAGCTAAAATTACTTAAATCAACACTATCCATTCCTTGCCTATATAAAATAGGCTTGATTGTCATTCCCTAAAAATGTAATGATCTTTCACGTAACTACATTTATTTTATTGTCAATTTTCTAACTGAAATTTTGCAATCAACTCAAAAAAAATCAAGATTTGTGACCTGAAAAATTGTCATTATTTCAAGATATTTACAGGACAAGTCCTAAATGTATGCATTTTCAAATATTGATTTCATAATGTCTTCAGGTAGTTCAGCCTATTCTATGTATTTTTTCCATATTATTGTGGTACCATAAGATCCTGGTATTTGAAACACTGGAAAACAGGGAACATGATGATGTGAACAAGTAAATGAAAAGCAGCTTATAACACTTAAATTGGGAAGAAAGAATAGTAACTGAACAAAAGTGAAATATTAAGAAATTGTTAATGCCTACTGAAAGGAAAGAAAGACCTGGCATCACATCTGCATGTTTCCACCCTGGGAGCCAGAGTCAACTCATTTCTGAAAATACAGAGAAAAAAACCTTTTAAGGCAGCTTAGGAGTTATTTGCCATATTTGCATTTAATGGAGCAGTCTTTGTAGAGAGGACTTATAAGCAAATATGGACAAGAAAGGTAAAGGAGAAGAGTAATAAAAGAGGATAGTCCTGATATCTATTATTGGTGTCCCATGAACATAGGCAAATGGAATTCTCTGAAAAGTTTACCGAGAAGCTAGGCTAACCACAAACCATCATGGAAAACCTTCACAGGTGAAGAGCTCTTCTAGACCCTGGCATTGGAAACCCTAGGGGTTATGGTTGAATGTTTGTCCCTTCTAAAATGCATGTTGAAATTTAATTCCAACCAAAATTCTGATGCCATCAATGTGATAAATTGTCATTAAAAACAAAAGTAGCAGATACTTATTAAACAGTTGATAAAATGACATAGAGCTTAATACACACACACAAGAACACAAATAAAACTGAGGATTGTGACTTCACTCCATAGATTGTATCAACATCAATATCTTGGTTGAGGTACTATTATAGTATAATATCTATACTATAGTTCTGCAAAATGTTACCTTTGAAGGAACTGGGCAAGTTTACAAGGGATCTCTGTATTATTTCTTTCAACGATGTGTGAATCTACAATTATCTTAGTAAGAACTGCAATTAAAAATACAATTATAGGCCGGGCACAGTGGCTCACGCCTGTAATCCCAGCACTTTGGGAGGCCGAGGCGGGTGGATCACGAGGTCAACAGATCGAGACCATCCTGGTCAACAAGGTGAAACCCCGTCTCTACTAAAAATTCAAAAATCAGCTGCGCCTGTAGTCCCAGCTACTCGGGAGGCTGAGGCAGGAGAATTGCTTTAACCCAGAAGGCTGAGGTTGCAGTGAGCCGAGATCATACCATTGCACTCCAGTCTGGGTAACAACAGTGAAACTCCATCTCAAAAAAAAAAAAAAATACAATTATAATGTCCTCAAAACTAAAAATTAACTTTAATTCTTAACATCTGAGTGGCAAGATGTATTTTAAAAGATCATAATATGATAAAACAATGAAATATATCTAGGAAACTAATAAACTGCAATTAAATCCAAACTACCATGTATGTCTTTCTTCATTAGGGAGCATGCAGGCGGAAAAGAGTAAGGGACGTCCCATCTTTGGATAGCTACATCATGTTAATGCTATCATTTGTCCTTGCTTGACCCTCTTCTGTCTGTGGGGAATTTCCAAAACTGGCTCAATTATAGGCAAAATATTCAGTCTTACTCCTGTATTAAAATGAAATCTACTTCTTTCTGGGAACCACAGGCAGCATCTCCAATGTTCTTGTGCTATTTTATGGTATATTCCAAATTTTATCTTTGCTTTGCTCATGTTTATGTAGAGCATACGGAATAAGTATGAGCTGGATAAACAACAATGCCCATGACCTACCTACTGATGCCAAAGGGACATTTAATGGAGCCACACATAAGTGTCACGGCACAGCATGATGGGGGATCCATTTTAAGATAGGATTCCATATAGAAAATAACACCACAAAATGGAAATTTGTTTTCAGCTTTTATTTCCATTTATTTATTTTTGAGACAGTGGGTTACTCAGGCTGGAGTGCTATGGCACAATCTCAGCTCAATGAAGCCTCCAACTCTCAGGTTCAAGGTATTCTCATGCTTTAGCCACCAGAGTAGCTGGGATTACAGGTGTGTGCCGCCATGCCTGGCTAAGTTTTGGCAGATATGAGGTTTCACTATGTTGGTCAGGCTAGTCTTGAACGCCTAACCTCAAGTGATCCTTCCACCTTGGCCTCCCAAAGTGCTGGGATCACAGGCATGAAACATCACAACCAGCTCACAGCAAGATCATCTTTCTTTTGGGGACAGTAGGAGAAAATCTGTTTCCTTGGTCTTCCTGGCTTCAAGAAGTACCTGCATTTTTTGGCTCTTAGACCCCTCCTTTGGAACAACTAATTGAGGACCTTTTACACTTCAGATTTCTCCTATTGCTATCTCTTTCCCACTGGGGAAGACGTTCTCCACATTTGATGACTCATGAGATTAAACTGGGCACATCACTTCTAATACTCCTTTCTCCAGAATAAAATGAAGTTAAAATATAAACCACATTTTTCTTGTAGTGAGCTGGAATTGTTGGCATTGCCTTTATCTCTCCAGCCAAATGGAAAATCCAGAGGACATTAACAGTGGTGACAACGATGGGGTGCTATATCCTTCACTCTCTTTCTAATGGCATCTTGTCCTTATTCGATATTCTTGTTGGGTTGTCCTAAACTTAAAGCTCAGATAGAGAGTGGAAACAATGAAACAAAATGAAATAGAAGAAGGTGGGGAAAAAGAGCCTGTTGAAAACACAAGAAAGCTAGGAAACATCAGCATCCACAAAGTTGATTTTAAATTAGACTCTTCCCATCAAATATTCTAATATTTCCAATCTTATGTGTGACTTAAAATATACACATGATCTTTTTGTTTACTAAAGACAAACAGAACAAGGCAGTTGAGAGTTATAGGGCATAGGGTGAAAGGAGGCTTTCAATAAATGTTGAACCACAAAAAATTTAAATGATAAGCTGAAAAGGTTTTTAAATGAACCATCACCACGTTGCATGTTTTGTTTGGTATGGATCTGGGGAAACAAAGAATGAACAATTTCTCTCTAGACAACAGGAGACTCATTCTGGTGGTTTTCTCCAGCAGGGGACATCTCATACAAGCTTTCCTGAGAAATGAGAATTTGCAGGGCTGAGGATTCTGAATCATTAGTGAGCTCTAATCATGTGGCCAATGAAAGTGTCTTGTTGCCAAGATCAGCGATGTCAAATGGTATGACAATAGTATTTTGATAACTTATTCATACAGAAGGATAAGAGGCATGAGGAGAACAGTAACAAAAAGCCCATGTTCAGAAACAGCCTTCAGCCTGAGGGCACATGCAAACTACCAGATCTCCAGAGTCACCACCAGGAAAGTCATGGCGAGGATATCAGAAAATAGAGGCGCATTTATTCTTGCAGACGGGAGAAGCCCAGCCTGCCTTTTGGACTCTGCTGATTTTGACTTCCTTCCCAGGCATTTTCCTTAGAAACAGCTTTGGGTGGAGACCACATTATTAACAAAGGGTGTTGAGGTGTTGATGTCTGTAACGCATGGTATTGATAATCAGTTTAGTGTTAGCCAGGCTCCAGGAGGCACTGACCTCCTGGAGGTGGATAGAACTAAGGCACAACTTTGATACTGTTTTGAGGTAAGTGGGTGATACGTTAGAAAGGTTCCTCCAGGATTCAGTGAGCCCATCTCTCTTATGCTAATTTATGCTGGCCAAGCAGCTCCCTTCATGTGCAACTGTATTCTTCAACGTGTTTGTTTCCACCTGGACACACTAAATTTAGTGATCACACTTCTGATACTAATACACTGTGGCTCAGAAGCCTGTGCCGAAAGTGTTGCACTGAGTTCAACTAAATCAAGAGTATAAAGAAAGTGGGAACTCTGTGCAAGCATATCATATAGTGGGGGCTGGCAAACACATGCATCTATTTAAAACTCTTTTAAAATGTAGATACTAAAATATGGGTTTTCTCCACCCAATTTTTTAAAATAATAATATACTGATTTTAGACACTTGATGGCTGTAGATCTCATTCTAGGTTGAGAAGGGGCTGCTGTACTGTTCTTATACATTTTCAGTTGAAACTAATTTAGAGGTACTTCTCAACAAAATGGACAGCTTGGCAGAAAAAAAAAAGTGTACCAAATCCTGTAATCCCCATGAGGAAGCATAATTCTCTTATGATGTTATTTCCAGAGCAAATTGTTACAATCCAACTATGGTCTATATTGCTGATAGCTTATTTATGGTTATTTTAGTTGGCTGATTCTTCCTTTAAATGAATAATATAAGACATTTGACAGTCCTCATCTGGGGAGTCATTTAATGGTAAAGCAAAGTCCATTGGCTTAAAGAGAAGAGTAGTTCTTAAGATATCAACTGATGAATAAATAATTATTGGAATGCCTCCAAAAATTTAGATGACTCACTAAACACAATTTCGTCTGTGTTTCCCTGTTTTCTTTTTATTTCTTCTATGATCCCACCTGTAGCTGTTCTAAACACTGGCTGCTTTACTTTGTCTCTCTGAAGTTAGGTATATATCATCTTCTATAACCCTTCCACAGCTTATAGCAATTCCTTCTTAAGTCACTGATTCTGTCTTTTCTTCTTTGATTTTACCCTCCCTCCTAGACCCAAGCATTTCAGCCCTAATGCTGTTGGGTTTATAACAATTATATCCTATAAAAAAGACTTCAGTTGGATTCTCAATTCCTTGCAGTGATTTTCAATAGTTAATTAAGAAAAAAAATGTCCCCACAGGACACTTTCAAGCAAGAGTCACAAAGGGTCATAAGCTGAAATGCCACTGAGGCTGAAGCATGAATTATAAATTAGTGAATCAGGTAGTGAGCAGCTTTGGAAGAGTAAAGGCTGGCTCTCTGAGCCACAGGTACAGCTCTTACTCAGCATCAGCTTAGGTTGGATATTGTCACACAGGAATGTGGGCTCTGTTTGGTCAGCTCTTCTACTTTTCAAGAGAAACCAAAAATCCTTATTTTATGTAACATCTCCCCATTTTAAAATACTGGGGACTAAGTCAAGCAGTTTTGACTTTCTGCAGGCTAAAAGGAACGTACCTACGTGCCAGATGTGCCTACGAGCCAATGCTTAAAAATCTTGAAAAAGACATGTTGGTATAGAGCTACTCTATTGGAATAAACTTATCTGTGAGAAAATATAGCATGTGAAATTCCTTTGAAGACTTGTAATTTGACAGCCTGACTCTTCCACTTTTTTCTTTTTTGGCCTATCCTTTTAATTTCTATATATTATAGGCCTCTAATGTGATTATACTGATGGCTTGTATAACCAGTGCTCCGCCACAGCAAATGTCCATATTACAATTATACGATCATACCTGTGTGGCATTCATGACTCTTGGGTACTCTGTGATTTGGATACTCAATATAGAGTGAAAATTACAGGCTTGATCTAACAATAGTTTTCATAGGGTGGTATTATAAGCCTCAACACCATAAAATGCCTTGGCAGAGGGCTCTAGTTAGAAGCACAAAAAGTGCATTTCTCCCATTTTTTTCATAGATTTTCTGACACCATAGACTATTATGTTCATACCTGACAATTAAATTGAATGAAAGTGAAATAACTTATTTCTTGGCTTAAAATTATTCACAGTGAAGGAGAGACAAAGAAAAGGGAATTTTTCATTATTTATAATCAGTCTAGAAAAGCCAAAATTTTCTCAAAGCCATGACTCAGGCTAAATGGCTCTTGTGAAAATGGTTTCCACTTTTTACCTTTCACATGCTGCTCCTATATTTCTTATGCCATACGGCCTCTAGGTCCCAGCTGCTCTCACATGGCCTTTCCTACTTACATCAGATTGGCTAAGGTCTGCAGATGCCACTGGACCAGATGCGGCCTAGAAGAGAGTGTGCAGAACCAGAGTGAGCCAGATCAGCTGCCCAGCTGCCCTTGACACTCCTGGTCGTCCTCGGTCTATGAGTTGGGTCACTTTGCTGTGGCTCCCTCTGTGGCAGTGATGGCCTTGTGGCTGAGGGGTCAGCAGATGAAGAGTGTCATATAAACTTCAGCAAAATACAAGCATACTTAAAACAGCAGGTTTCCCTTATGAATTTGTTCAGTTACTGGAAAATCGAAGAACAATACTTTCTAGCTTTTAAAGCATGGTGATAGTGTAAAAGTTACAAAAATGTATTTTCAGTGGTCTGAATGAGTTGAGGATTAAATGTTCAGATAAGCATCTTATTTTGTAAGATGCTATGAAAGAATTAATTTGCAGTTATATTTATTGTAATATTTAACTAGTATGCAGCCTGAATATCACAGATTATTATTACTTATATTTTGAGGGTTGTTACATCCATTTGAATTTTTAAAAGTTTAGAAACATAGAAGAGACACCCTATGGAGTTAAAAACCAGATCTCCAAGGAGAAGGTACAGACTGGCTGGTGACTGCATCTGGTGGGGAAGGGTCAGTTCGCCTTGTTTTACAAACTTGGGTGGATTCAGCTGCTGCTACTGAAAAAACCGCTGCTGCAGGAGCAGAGAAGTGTTGCTGGAATAAGGCTCACAGCGACCACACACACACTGGAAGCCTTTAAAAGGATTAAATGCCCTCATGCTCCCCAATTCTTGCATTCTTCTTCCATTATTCCTGTTGGCAGAGCATAACACAGAGCCAGCTTGCAAAGAGCCAGAAATGGGCAGTGCAGAGTCCCAGTACCTGTGTCATAAAGCTAAATATAGAAAAGAAGGTTGGAAGTATAGAGAAAATAAGTTAATAACTGGCTAAATATTGCTAACTTCTAGCTTTTTAAGAAGCTTGTGGGAAAAATTGGCTGTTGTTTTTTGATAAAAAAGTCATTAAATTTTTTTCTTAAAAAAAATCTCTAAAAAAGGAAATGCTGTGAATCAATTTCATAAGAAAAACTGATATGGTATTACAGTATCAATTTTTTAAATTTCTGATTTTTAAGAAAAAGTGTATATTTAATAAGTCAATTTTGTACCCAAACCTCTACTCCCTCAAAAAAAATTCCTTCATTGAAAAATCCCGAATTTTGAAATAATATTACTAGAATTAAGTAGCACTAATCATCACTATTAAAATACAGATATCTCTCAATTAGTATTAGGTTTTTATGTGAATAACAGACTCTTAAAAATGGCTAAAATAAAAATAAAAATTTACTTTTCTTATGTAAATAAAGTCCAATGAAGGCATTCCAGGTCTTCTGTGATGGTTCCAGCACTATCAGGGACCCAAGTCCACCCAGGTCTCTGCTCTGTCCTATCAAGGGTTACATAAATGAAATCTGTTCTCATCTGGCTGCTAGAGCACTAGTCCTTTCCATCAGTAAGAAGGAAAGCAAGAGAAGCAGTCGTGCTCTTCTTTCTTTTCAAGAATTGTTCTTACAAGTTCCACACACAATATTTTCACTAACTACAAAGGAGCTTGTAGATGTGCACAGCTGAAAACTGGGGTCTATTAATTGAGGGAGTTGAGTGGAATGGCTATTGCTAAGGAACTGTCTCTGCCAGACACTGGAAGGGACATTACCTGATCGATTATTAGCTTTGGTGTGAATGAGTCCATCAGCTCCTTTTTGAAAGCAAGATTTCATAGCTAAGAAGGATTGGTGAGCCTAAAAGGATACTAAGCTAGAGAGTGGAGGCTGCTGAATGGGGCAGATAAAGAATGTTGAAGATTAATCTCCTCTATTTTAGAATCTTGCTCAGAGCCACCATTAGCCCCAACTCCATCTTTTTTATTTACATTTTTGTCCATTTAAAGAATTTGAATTCAATGCTAATACAGAAGGGGTCATATCATGTATCAACTATATTTCTTTTGTTTCAAAGGACGAAATGATCTTTTAAAAGATATGATCACATTTTTCATTGTGTTCTATTCCTTCTTTTTTAAAGAGACACCTTCTAATGCCAAGATGGTTTTTGGATTTCCAGTTATTACATTAATCTTCGTGTGTTTGCCTCTCCCTTCCCATGAACCCTGAAGAGAATGGAAAAATGGCATCATGTTGATAAAAAGTGATGCCTTCCAAGACAGTCTTTAAATGTCCTATGTGCAGATATGGTCAAAACGAATAATTCAGGCCAACTGCGTGAACATTTCCCCATAGATGCTTGAAGTAAAACTGGCTGGCTTTGCAAAGTGATTCTCTTTATAACCTAGCAACTGCTTGATGACGTTTTGGGTGACAGGCCAATTTCTTAGGTGATTTAAGTATATGCATTTAGTGTTTCCCAGCACTTTTGCTTTTAGAGCTAACTTATAAAGGGAGAGCAACAAACACTGCTGTGCCATGGTATGTGTCCTTTGCACAGTCACTGGCAGAAACATGATGCATTTCTCCATAAGACACCTCCCTTCCCAAAAATGTCACTGGCTTCCAGCTACCTCATCTTCCAAATTTTGTTACCTTTACTGATGAGAAGAGAAAAATTTCAGGAAAACACTGGAGGAGGAAAGGGATGGTAGAAAAAGAAAAGTTGAAGATTCAAATGAACACTTTGTAATGTTTCATTGTGTTTGCTGCAGAGAAAATGTTTGCAGTACACAAATGCTTCTGTGCAGTAAGCTCTAACCCTATTCAAAAGGGTGACATGGCTTCAAACTGAGCACTTCCTGGCCTCTCGGGGAAGCCTTCACTTTTACCCTGTGCCCACGATAAAGACAGACAAGACATATCATTCATTGCTGATCTGCCCCGTGCCCACAACTGGTCCCTACCTCTGCCGGTTACGTAGATTTTTCTGAAGATATTGAGAAATTAAGAAAAGAATCTGCACTGCACATCACTCAGGAAAAACTACATCTAAAACACAACTATATATGGTAAAATAAAGTGATTCTTAATGCAGAAACAGAAAACGAAATACCACATGTTCTCACTTATAAGTGGGAGGTAACCATCAAATACACATGGGCATAAAGATGAGAACAACAGACATGAGGCAATGCAAGCAGAGGAAGGGCTGAGAAACTACCTATTAGGTACTATGCTTACTACCTGTGGATGGACTCGTGTACTCCAAACCTCAGCATTATGCAATATGCCCATAGACCAAATCTGCACATGTACTCCTGAACCTATAAAAAAATGGCCCCTGTCACTCAACATTAAAAACATTGTGTTCGGTAATCCCAGCCTCCCTCTTCTGTTTTTTCCCTTTCAGGGGTTTCTCCTCTGTGCCTTACCTGCCCTCCTCCCTCTTACCTCTTCCTTCTCCTAAAAGGAAGCATAATGGCTGGTGAGAGCTTAGTTACCTTCCCTTGAGTCATATGGATAGTACATTAAAACAGAGATAAAACTAAAGGGAAGAAGCTCTGCTGGAGGAATTTAGGCCAAATGAATAATGGAAAGAGCCACGTATTGGAGCCAAAGAGAGCTGGAATTGATTCACAGTTCTGTCATTTAGAAGCTGACAGCCTTGGGCAAATCACTTGTCTTTCTTAAGTTGGTTTCTTTACTTACAAAATTGAAATAATAATACCTTCTTCATAGTGATTTGAGAATTAACTAAAATTATGTTTACAAAAAATCATTGCAATATTTTGCACATAATTGTCATTCAATAAATATTACTTCTCTTACCTTATAAAAAGGGAGATGGAGGGGTTGTTGGGGAAAGTCATTGGGACTTCTCAGTATTCTAGTCTGATGGGAATAGGAGTGTGTGTGTGTGTGTGTGTGTGTGTGTGTGTGTGTGTGTGTGTGTGACAGAGAGAGAGATTGAGAGAGATTGAAAGAAAGAGTGACAGAGCCAGAGAAAATTTAGGGGAAGTCGATTTATTTGATTGCATTGATTTTTCTAATCTATCTTCTTAAGTCATATTAGTGTCTGCAATTTCCTGGTATCAAGGAAAATGATAAACTGAAATTCCTTGGTGAACAGAGCCAATGAAGCAGAGTGGTTTGTGGAAATAACCCATGGGCTGGTTTAAAAACCTAATGAAATAATTTTACCCTATTTCTATGTTCCATAGATCTACTTTCTCTTTTAGATGGTACTGATCAAGTGATAAATTTCCCTGTTTTATTTCTTGTGCTGGCCGCTCTGGGGCCAACACATACTTTTGCCACATCTGTTAATATTACTGTCTTGGAATATGTCAAAATGAAGAATAACTTCCTTCTCCATGCGAGACCTGATTTGATACTCTTAAAGGCAAGGATTCAGACCTTTCTTGGCACCAAAATACAGGAGCTGGGCACAGATCTTATAGCTCTTTTTTGTTCCTTATCAAACGGAATGAATGCCCAGGGTTTCCATATTACCAGGACTGCTGGTCTTACACTGCCTGAACTGGAGTGTTTGCCATGATGTACAGGAGCCAGCTTCACACCAGGGGCTGCTCCTTCTGTGGTTAAGAATGGATGCTTTAGAGGCTATCACCCTGATCTGGGTCATCCTTCAGGAAATGAATAAGGTCCTGTGGCTTCTTAAAGTCATCTTTTTGGGGAGCCAGATTATAAACTCCTGGTAAAATTTACTTATGACTTCCCTTAATATAAAAATGTAGGCTTCTTCCCATTAATGGATTTCTAAGCAGCCACTTCTTCTGGTTTGGGGAATCCAGTGTCTTTGTTTTATATTTTAAAAAATATTTAGAAGTCATACATATATAAAACAAGAAAGTAGGTATGATACTTAAAAAAAAAAAAAAAGAGCCCCAAACAGCTTCTGTGTATCATCATCCCATGAAAGATCTGCAGATATCCCACCAGAATGGGTGCTGGCCTAGGCTGTACTCTTTGCTGGAGAATTATAGTTACACGTAATTAATACCCTATGCCAATAATAAACAAAAGTGAATACATGACGTGTTACAAGACTTTTCTGTCCTTCTGAGGGCTATCCTGATAATCCTTATAAGATTCATCTTGAATTACTTCTTCTGTAAAAGTTCTTAACTTCAGGTCTATGGACACTCAAGAAGTCTGTGACAAAACTTTATCTTAATTAAAATGCATATAACAACTAGAAATATTTGACAAATTACTTCAGTAAAACTGATTTCACCCATGATACCAACCATTTTTATTTTTTGCTTACAAAAATATTATTCTGAGACATGCATAGGCCTCACAGAATTATCAAAGGAATCCATGTCACTAACAAGTTAAGAATCTCTGACGTAAGGGAAGTTTTTGTGGGGCCCAGGGGGTCTTTTTGTATGACCTGCTGATTTCATTAATTTTCACAGTTCAGTTTTCTCTTCTATGGTCTCAGCACACTGGTCTCAGCCTCTGTTGGTTTGTGTCATCTGTATCTACGATGTGCTGTAATTGTCAAGTTAACTTTTTGGGCAGAGCGCTATTTTTTTTAATTTTCTTTATCTTTTTGAGACGGAGTCTTGCTCTGTCACCCAGGCTAGAGTGCAGTGGTGCGATCTCGGCTCACTACAACTTCTGCCTCCTGGGTCCAAGCGATTCTTTTGCTTCAGCCTCCTGAGTAGCTGGGATTACAGCCATGCACCGCTAAGCCCAGATAATTTTTGTATTTTTAGTAGAGACAGAGTTTCACCATGTTGGTCAGGCTGGTCTTAAACTCTTGACCTTGTGATCCACCTGCTTCAGCCTCCCAAAGTGCTGGAATTACAGGCGTGAGCCACCGCACCTGGCCTGGGCAGAACACTATTTCCAACACAGTGATAATGCAATCCATGATGGAAGATTTCTTCAGATTTATTTCAGTTTACTGACCAAATCCCATATGCTGGTTACTATGCTAGTCAAAAAGTATACAAGGTCAATATTTAAAACAAGCAAAAAACCACAAAAAATACTCATTGCCCTTTATCAGTTTACAATCCAAACGTGTGTGTGTGTGTGTGTGTGTGTGTGTGTGTGTGTACGTAATAACTTCTTCTGTCTCTCACCCCCCTACACAGATCTTGGAAACATCTCAAATTTAATGAGGACTTTCCAACATTCCAGACTGCTGCCCTGCAATGAAGCTCTGAGTCATGGTCTGTGGGAATAAGGTACTGGCAACAGTGTGAACCCCAGGACAACCAACCTCACTAACCTCCACTCTAAGCAGAAGCCCAAAGTGAGTCTGGCCTGAAATCAGAGCAAGCACTGCAGAAAGGCATCTTTGTTAATGGAAAGAGGAAAGAAGAAAAGAATTTCCAATAAGTTACAACAAACTTTCCACCATTCTAAAGAACCCACCTTCCTTCTCAACCAAGCTGGGCTTCTCTCTAATGACTCTTATTCTAGCCTTTCGCCAGAAACAGAGAGAGTTAATCCTGGTGAAAAGATAAAGATAGACACTCAGAAAAAGAGACCTGGAACTGTGATACTATCAAAACCATCAAGTAGAATAATTATGTCAGAAAGCCAGCTTAGCCTCCCTGTGATCCCTGCTCGCAGGCCTGGATTGCGGGTATGCTATATCTGTGGTCGAGAATTTGGGTCCCAGTCAATTGCCATTCATGAACCCCAGTGCTTACAGAAGTGGCATATCGAAAACGGCAAATTGCCCAAGCACTTGAGGAGGCCAGAACCCTCCAAACCACAGTCTCTCGGTGGCAGTGGGTCCTCCAGTCTTCAGGCAACGAATGAGGCTGCATTTCAGAGTGCCCAGGCTCAGCTGCTGCCCTGTGAATCCTGTGGCCACACATTCTTGCCAGATCGTCTTCTTGTTCATCAGAGAAGCTGCAAGCCAAAGGGAGACGGGTCCCAGAGCACCACACTCTAATAGTTCTGATCACCTTACTGGCCTCAGGAAAGCTCCTGGTGGAACCCCAGCCCGACCAAGGACCATTATCTGCTACATTTGTGGTAGGGAATTTGGCACCCTATCCCTTCCTATACATGAGCCCAAATGCCTGGAAAAGTGGAAAATGGAAAATGACCGGCTTCCCATGGAGCTCCAGCGGCCACTCCCACAAAGCCTCAACTCCTTCTGACTGTGCAGTCCAGCCACGTGCGACCAAGTCAAGCTCAGCTTGTGCCCTGCCCAAATTGTAACCTAACCTTTGCCTCAGACTGCCTTCTGGTACACCAGAGAAGTTGTAAAACTCAACCTCATGGGCCAAAAGATCAGAATTTGACCTTATGGAGTAAAGGAGTCCTAAAAGAGTCCACCAATTCCAAACAGCAAAGGAATATGGCAGGACCCAGTGTAACTGTTAAGATCATTCAGGCCACATAAGCTGCATTAGGTGAACCTGGTGGCGCCCTCTGCCTGTAAGGGAATGAGAGAAAACTATCCCCAGAATCAGCCATCTCAGCCTCTAGTATTTTTTCTACTAATGCCTTATGTCAGCCTCAATGCAGCCTGTTCAAGTTAACTCCCTGTTGGACTCCAGGGCCTTTATCTCTCTTGGCTAAATAGATACAAGAACATCCTTGCCTGATGGGTTCATATTCCTCTTCAATTCTGCTGTCTAAAAGAAGGAGAAACTAACTACTTTCTTCTCTGATCCCTGATACAAATAATCCCTGGGAGAGACTGTAATTTGAAAATGAGTCATTAATGCTGTGTCTAAATTACAAAGATATAATATAATTCCCTTCCAACAGCCAATATTTATTGCTGGTTTATTTTAGTCATCTACCTTAGGAATTCATTTTTGGCAATGCTGGGTTATGCTGAGTTTATCTTACTAAAATAGAATCTATGTCAAAAACCCCAAATGACTTTAGCAACAATTAAACACTGAAGCACTCCCAAAAATACACATGCTCTGTAAATACAGCATATTTGTTTCTTTTGACATTTATATGGTTGTAGTAAGAAGGAAATTAACCCCAGCGTAGGCACGGAAGCAACTAGGTTGTGTTCTGGGAGGTGCTTAGTTCCTGCTGCTTCTCTGTGTCTTGTGTTCAGGTTGAATATAGGGCCCTGACCCCCAACTTGGGCCATTCTTAATAAGCATGACCCCAGGAATCCCCAGCTTGCATAGCAAAGAGTTTTCAGGGATTTTTTCTAAAGTTTCACTGTAGACAAGGATTGGAGAGAGATGCTTACAAGAGTGGCTACCCACAAGATAGGGCCTGGTCCAGGTTCTTTGTCCTGCCATTAAACCAGATGGTGGATGTACTATCTCGTGTCAGCCTTACAGCATATCAAATCATGAGGAACAAGAAGTGGCAAAAGTCTTTTTTCCATGGCTTGCTACTTAAAAGCCCAGCCTGTAGGGATAATGGATTCTTAAGAAAATTAAGATTAGGCTGGTGAGGTGCCTCACGCGTATAATTCCAGCACTTTAGGAGGGCAAGGCAGGTGAATCACCTGAGATCAGGAGTTCAAGATCAGCCTGACCAATATATCTCTACTAAAAAACAAAAAAATTAGCTGGACATGGTGGCGTGTGACTGTAGTCCCACCTACTCAGGAGGCTGAGACAGTGAGAATTGCTGGAACCCAGGAGGTGAAGGTTGGAATGAGCTGAGATCACACCATTGCACTCCAGCCTGGGCAACAGAGCAAGACTCTGTAAAAAAAAAAAAAAAAAAAGAATAGAAAAAAAGAAAAGAAAACTTAGATTACACAAGCTATTGTAAAAGATTAAACCAAAGGAATTAGTTGGGGAGGGGCATCCCTTATTTCTAATTTGATTTTTCTTTCTTTTTTATTTTATTACTTTAAGGACTATCTAGACCTTTTCTCCTAAATTCCTTGTTTAAAATAAAATGAGTATTGGTTTAGAAGATTCCAAGACAATGATTCGAAAGCTGAAGAGTCACTCACAGCTGCTGGGCAAGTTTTCCGATGAATACTGAAGAAAAAACAGCTAGTTTCTTTGCCGAATGAAAAACCAAACTCCTCAGTGTGGCATGGTCTTCAAGCTGCTTTCGTAAACATGACCTGTTTTTCCCACCTTCTGTCTGTTGCTTTTCTTCTATAATGTGTGGGGTCTGGATTCAGAGAGTACAAGAATCTGTGTCTCAGGGCCACAAATCAGAAACTCTGTTCGCTTTCTGCCTTACAGCCCTGTTTCTTGATTGTATGCATTTACTTCAAATGTTCTCATTACAGATCTAGAGATAGGGAAGCCTGTGGTCAGGATTCTTGTGCTTGTTGTTGTTACACATACTTTGTGCTCAAGAGTGGAGCCAACAGGCTGAGCACAGCATGTTCTTACTCAGTCACGATGGCTGAAAATGGTTGGCTTGGGCCTCCAGCTTCCCGAGGAGACACCTTCCTGACTCACCCGGTTGTCTGGAGGGAAGAATGTCAGGAGAGGCCAGCGATGGCCCTTCAGTGACTAGACTCATGGATTTAGATGAGAGTAGGGGGAGGCAATCTAGAGGACATGCCTATATCAGAGCACACCCAACCCTGCTCTCAGGCCTGAGAACACATATGTGAGTGGGAAACTGGCCCCGACCACTGTCAGATGTGTGCTGGCCTGTTTGGGGACCACACAAGCTTCAGTAGAGGGTATAGAGAGGTCATCCAGCATAGGGTCCATTTGGCTGCCAGACATAAAACAAGCTTGGGTTAGTTACAAAGGAGAAAACTCAGGCTGCCAGGGAACATAAGATCTTTCAAAGCAGTGGGCTTTAGCCCTTCCTTTGAGAAGACATTTACCATTTCATAGTGCTTTCAGTAGAAAGCCTTTTCTCCACAGTGTAGATTAATTATTATTTGATCCTGCCTATAGATGTTTTTTCTTTTTATCATTTAAATTTTTAATAGGGCTATGAATTACTCATTTTCCATAAAGAACATAACTCTGATGATTATTAGATTTCAGAATTCAATCTGTCTGTGACAGCTGACTTTTGGCAGCCTGTGACACTCATACATTCCTTCTTACAATTCAGATGATTTCTCTCCGGAATGCTTGGTGTGATCTCAGATTAGAATCAACTATTTTGCCTTGCATTCTCACAGGGTTCTATCTTGTAAGGGATTCAGGTGAGACAAATAGTTTCAGAACCATGATTATAGTACTTGGAAAACAACTCACTCCAGTGATGCCACAGTCACTGTTTCATTGGCAGAAAGAATTGCCTTTCCCTCAGAATGTTTCTCCAACATATATTGGCTCAGGTCCCTCATGACACAGATGCTCCTGCCATCCTTCTATCAAATCTAAACACAAACACTGATTAGACAAGTCCTGCTCCAATATCTCAATGGGCATTTTGCATTGCCTTCTAACCAATATATTGGCTCGAACTGTCTCATTGTTTCTCATCCAAAGTGTAGGGCTGAACTCATTCCTTGTGATCTCACAGGAAAGTTGTGAAGGACACTAAACAGTATTTAAGAGGAATAAAACCTTCAGTGTGGATTTTTATTTAAAAGGTGAACAGTCCCGGGACAGTGTATATGTATTTCATGGTGTAATGAGCAGTATCACACTTCCTTTCTTTCCTCTAAAAGCCTGGAAGGGCAATACCCAATTTAGCAAAAATGTAAAAGTAGTGTCAATTCCAGATGAAACTTTGATTCATTATATGGACCAAATCATATGTTAACATTTTAAATTTTAATATCACATATTTAATGAGATTCTTTTATGTCTATTTTAGTAAATGATTTTCTAAGCTATGCTGAAGAATATAATAGAAGTAATTATTTCTTATTTTAATATGAATAATTTTAATATTTGCATTTAATAGTTGATAAAATTTTGCCTGTTTTTAGAAGCTGATTGTAACTCATTCTTTAGCTTTAGGCTCTTTCAAGCCAACTGGAACAGAGCTAATTAAATATAACTTAAGCCAAAATGACACTTTTGCCTAATAACTTTTTATTAGGTAAGGCTTGGGGTTATTTTCTTAGGATTTCACTTGTAACATGTGAAACACTGTTCCTAAAAACCTTGTTCTATGTTGCAAAATATATGTTATCTTTCTTAAGGGGAACTATCTTTTCTATAAATGCTTGTCTCTCTGAAAGCAGTTTTAAGCTACTTTTGGCATCCTCAATGCTCGGGTTGGAGTTAAAGCCCCATCAGACACATCTCCAGTATCTGGTGCTGCCATCTGGTGTTTCCTTTTAAAGCAATCTTCTGTGCTATCAAATTTTATTATTGACAGATTTTCCTGCTTTGTGTTATCACCAAATGTATTTGAGAAGGTGTCCTTATTAGATAAACTCCAGTTATTTAGTGCTAGAGTTAAATGTTTGATTTAAAGCTATAAATGTTCTCTGGCTAAGTATCTTATTCTTTACAGGCAAAACTCATAATGGGAATAGCATAATCAGAAAAACTCAGGAGGGCAGGATAGATATTCTCATACTATCAAATTTTGCATGTGTGCATGTGTATCTGTTGGGTAAGAAGAATTTGGAGTTTAGGGGAAGGTGTGGAAGACAGGGGAGTTTTACTGAATACCTTTATGTCTTAGTCCATTTGTGCTGCTATAACCAAAAATCAAAGACTGGGTAATCTATAAAGAACAGAAATTTATATCTCATGGTTCTGGAGGCTGGGAAGTCCAATATCAAGGTATCAGCAGGATTTTTATGAACTTGTGAGGAAGGCTCTACTTCCAAGATGGTAATTAGTTGCTATATCCTCCAGAGCGGAGTAATGCTCTGTTGTCATGTGGTGGAAGGGATGGAGATTCGAGAAGGGTGCTCTCTCTTCTAACCTCGAGCCCTTTCATAAGGCTGTTAAGCCCATTCATGAAGGTGGTGCCCTCACAACTTAATCACCTCACAAAGGCCACACCTCTTAACAATCCTGCATTGGGAAGTAAGATCTACCATGAATTTTGGAGGGACACCACCATCAAAACCGCAGCACTTTATGTTAGCACTTTATATACATGATGTCATTTGAATCCTCATTATATTACTATAAGATAAAACATTATTTTCCTACTTCCCAGGTTGGGAGACATTGGTTAAGCCACTTGCTCAAAGTCATACAGTGGGTTCACAAGTAGCTGTCAGAGCCGGTCTGTCTAATTCCAAAGATTCATATATTTTCATGTCACTATGAGAAGAGCATAGAAGTGTATAAAAAACAGGTATTGCTACCCTGCCAAGCTTTGAGTGTTAGGCAGGACAAAGAGGACAGAATGCCATTAATTCACTAATACTTATCATTAGGCATTGGACTAAGTACTAAATATAGGGTCATAAAAAAATAAACACATTTCCTGACCTCATGGAGTTTTTAGTCTTATTGAGGAAATGATATGAAATTTAAATATATATATAAACCTAATTTAAAATTGTGTTATGACAATGTACAATTGTGGAAGACGACATTCAGGATTTTGGTTAGAGAAAACCTGTGGGAGGAAGACATTTCAGCTAAGACATAAAAGCTGTGAAAGCGCTAGCCAAGAAGAAACATGTGGAGAAAGAGAATGGTTAGAGAAAAAGACATTTTGATCAAGGGCAGCATGTAAGAAGGTCCTGAGGTAAGGAAGATCTCATAACGAAATGAAAAAGCACGCGTGTGGCCAGTGCCAAATGAGGAAGGAAACAGGCACACGGAGGAGGCTGAAGAGGTCGTATAGTTTCCTCCAGTTGCTCTGTGAACACAGGGACAACAGTTGTTTGGTTACTTCAGGAACCCAGGTGAGAGCTGGTGACAGCTCGGCCCATCATGTTGGTAGCAGAGATCAAGATAAGGTACAATGGGCAGATCTTGGTGATAGTTGAGATGTGGAAGGGTAAGAAAGAGGGTCAAGGATGACTCCCAGATTTCTAGCTTGAGCAACTGCACCAGTAGTGCCATTTTCTAAGATGAAGAAGACTTGAGAAAGGGTTCGATTTAGGGAAGTAAGAGCTATAGTTAAATTCTGGCCATATCAAATTCAAAATGCTTATGAGATATTTGAGTTAAGCTGGATCTATGAGACGGAATTCAGAATGGAGGACTGGGCTATACATTTGTGAATTATTCACATATATGTAACGCAATCAGAATGAATATTCAGATAGAAAAACAGGCCTGGGGCAGAGCCCTGAGATACAATATTTTGGGACTAGAGGGAAAGAAGCTAGAGAATGAAGGCCTGGAGACGGAAATGAAGGGCCTGGGGTATGGTGTCATGAAAGCTGAGATCAGACAAATATTGTAAATAAGGGTATGGAAAACAGTATTTTATGCTGAGAGGTTGAGTAGAATGAGGACGAAGAAATATTTAATTTGGCAGTGTTGAAGCAGTTGCTAACCTTGGAAAGAATATAATGTAGTGATGAGAGTTGCAGAGTGTATGGCTAATAAGGATGGGATGTGTTTTGAGAAGTACAGCTTTGAAGACCAGAAGAGAAATAGGTAAGCTAGGAATAGAGATATTGAGATGAGAAGTTTTTTTGAAAAGATGGGAGCCTCTAAATTATGTTTTAATGCTTAGATTAATGATCCAGTGGAGAAAAGAAGATTGAAGAAGCAAGAGAGGTAATCAGAGAAAGAGCAAAACCTGTCGGAAAAAATGGGCACCAGGAGATGGGATCACCAGTGTGTGTGAAAAGAAGGTCTTTGATTGGAGAGGGCACTTCTTTGTTTCAGGAGAACGATGAACACAGATGAAGGCAAGCCTGTAGGTTACTAGTGAGGAGCTAAAGGAGCTACAATCTGTTAGCTTGTCTCTCATATTTTCTCAATTAAATGTCAGGCAATCTTATCAAGCCTATCAGATGAGAAAGAGAGAGGTATAAAGAGAGAAAAAGGTTAATGTTAAGAACCTTAGTCCTGTAATCCCAGCACTTTGGGAGGCCGAGGCGGGTGGATCACGAGGTCAAGAGATCGAGACCATGCTGGTCAACATGGTGAAACCCCATCTCTACTAAAATTACAAAAAATTAGCTGGGCACAGTGGCACGTGCCTGTAATCCCAGCTGCTCGGGAGGCTGAGGCAGGAGAATTGCCTGAACCCAGGAGGCGGAGATTGCGGTGAGCTGAGATCGTGCCATTGCACTCCAGCCTGGGTACCAAGAGCAAAAAAACTCCGTCTCAAAAAAAAAAAAAAAAAAGAACCTTAGTCCTTTGTCTCTTCATGCCTTCTGTTAAACTGAGCTCCTAAAATCAAGACTAAATCTTCTCAAGTATTTCCCTTTATAATCTCCACTTCTTTGGAGGGGGTAGATGAAACATTCAGTGAGGTCCTACTTGTAAATCTTACCTTTTCAATAATCTTTAGTGGGCCTAGTTCAACTCCTCAGCTGTGCTGATGTCATGAAAACCAGCCTTGACCTCACAAACTACCCCTTGATGATGCTGACAGCTGGACTACTAATATCCAACTCCCTGCACAATTCTTCATCTTTCCTTGGTGCCAACCATGCCTGCATATCAGAGCAGCATTCTATGATCCCATCACTCTCAGGTCGACAAACCAGAACATTAAGGTAACAGGACTGGTTCTCTTCTACACTGTTGGCTCCAGAAGCCAACCCAAGGGAATTTGTGTATATATATTACATGTGTGGAATATGTGGGCATTGAAGGTGGGGGGAATTACACATTCTAGAGCAACAGCTTCATCAGTGAAATTAGATTAAATCCTAATCTAAAAATTTAAAGGATAATACTCACCTGTACAAATCACAGTCTAATATAATTATTTAAAAACTCATCCTTGACTTATAATAATATATCACATATTACTGGGTAGAGAGACTGTGATAGATACAACTCCATCTCCCAGAGCCCAAAGCTCAAAGCAAAACCAGGTATTCTTTCTTTGCATTGGGGCTTCTATATGTGGTGTTCTGCTTCTCTAGGAAGAAAAATACTGACTGTAACTTCTGTGAGAGGAGAAGATGACATATTATAAATTCAAAGATTATTTAGGCCTAAAATGAACAAAAACCATAACATAGTTATACTCCCAAAAAGTTAATCTAGCTTAATTTCATATGTTTGCAAAGTCTTCTTCCTGTCACTTGCTTCCAGCCCAAAAACACATACATCCACATTTCCTAGTGATCATGCATACTGAACAATCTTTACATAATGAGTGGATGGAAATAGCTTTAGTACTTAAAAATCCAAATTCCAAGGTCAACAACTACAGTCTCTTCCAAAATTCTTAGAACTCCACCAAAGGCAGTGCAATGCAACCTATAAGGATTCCTTATTAAAATAGAGGTGACTGTCCCATGAACAGAATCTCACTGCTCAATGTGAGGCACAAGTTCAGCCATATGGGAGGTGGGGAATTGAGAGAACTTTACTTAGGACTCTGTCTTCTTCTCTCCCCTTATATTGTGTAATGCTTCTCTTCCTTACATCTCTTGTCTAACATTTACTTTATGAGGTTGTCTTATACATAGAAAGAAATGACCTACAAGTTGAAGAAAGGGCTAGTGAATCTAGAAAATCAATATTCTCAGCCCAAGCACCTGCTCTGATGCCGCAATGCCATCTTTTTTTTTTTTTTTTTTGAGACGTTGTCTCTGTCACAAGGCTGGAGTACAATGGCATGATCTTGGCTCACTGCAATCTCTGCCTCCCGATTTCAAGTGATTCTCCTGTCTCAGCCTCCCGAGTAGCTGGGATTACAGGCATGCACCACCATGCCCAGCTAATTTTTGTATTTTTAGTAGAGACAGGGTTTCACCATGTTGGCTAGGAGGGTCTCGAACTCCTGACCTCATTATCTGCCTGCCTCAGCCTCCCAAAATGCTGGGATTATAGGTGTGAGCCACCATGCCCAGCCGATCCCATCTTTAAAGTCTCCCATGCTGCGCTCACATCCCAGCTTACCTTTAATCAGAGAACGTGGGAACATAAAGGTATCTCTGCTCCCATGTTAAAGCTTCAAGAAATTGGAGGCAGAGAGTAGAAGCGAAGGATAGGGAGACATCAGGGTCAACTCTGATAGAAAAGGTTTTTTTTAAATCTCTTAAAGTTAGAATTCTTTCTGTCCTATCCAAGGTGATAGTTTTCTTTTTATAGGAAAACTCCTTTTCTTGGCCTTCACCCCTAAGTGGTGTGCTCTCTACCATGTAAGCTGTAGACATATCAGGCACTAGAAATAATCCAATCCAAGATCAGTTCAGAGGGTTTGCTTTCCTTTTATCTCTCTAATTATATGAACTGGACAAATTGAGTGTCTGCTGCAGCCTATGGGTTTTTCTTGTCTTCCCCTCATTGTCCCTTGTTTCTCCGTTTTACCCTGTGACCTAGAAGCCAACTGGCATGAGAGTCAGGCCTGTATCCAAACTGATGAGCACCAGAACAAAACACCAAGAACATCCTCCAACCATTTTCTTCAAGGAAAGTCTTTTCAGACAAGAATCTAGCAAGACATTTAATCAATACCTCAAACATTTCACTTTCCAGCCAATATCCTAAGGAATCAGAAAAACAAAAACAAAAATGGTTCTTATCTCAAATGAGAAAATAAAATAAAATAAAAACCTTCAGCTAGGAAATTGTATTCCTTTCAAAAAACGTAGACCAAATCAGAGTCTAATTTGGAATTTGGTTTTTGACCTATATTTTCCAGCTTTGTAGCTCAAGATTAACAATTAAATAACTAAAATGTCAAGCATGCATTTGAAATACCAATAGTTCTTTTTTAAAAACCAAATACGTAAAGATAGTTTAATAAAAACAACATTTCCAAATGAATGCCAAATCTTTCTTACATTAAAAGAGCAAAACAAAACTCCAAATCACAAGTAACAGACTCTCTTATAGTTGGCCAATAGACAGGCCGGATTGGGAAATTCTTTTACAAGGCATCCAGTGATTTCCAAAAACAATTTAATTTCAAACAACGATCCTTCCAGATGTGATATTTGGGGAGAATTGTTTAAAAACACCAGAAGTAAATGTAAAATACCAGTGGTTTCTAGACAGTCAAGCTCTGCAATTGGGACTGAACTATGCAGTTACTCCTATATATTAAAATGCTATTTATACTTTGTCTGCATGTGTAAGATGTGGCTAAGGGAGTAGAAACTTAATTATATACATTCAGTCTCAGTCAAGTTGGTTGAAATTATGTTTTAAATGGTTGAAGGCAAAATTCTGATTTGAAGAAATGATTCTCTGGTGGCCCAGCCTCATATCCTAATCTCCTTTGCCTTTTAGCACCTTCTGCACTCTCCCTGCCTCTGCCACCCCAACCCTTGGAATTGATGGAAGGGGATCAGATAATTTTATAAACTTAACAGAAAACTATCTTTCACAGGACTGTTCTCTGCATTCTGAAAATCTGTCTAGGAGAAGGCAGTGTTTGACCCAAAGGAATAAACTTTTGAAGTAGCTGGGAGAGCAAGGGCAAGAGTTTTGCTAGTTTTTCCCCAGTCCCATCCAAGGGCTGACTCTGGACATGTAAGGCAGGGCATGATATCCCACTGACCACTGATGACTGTATCTCCCATGTTTCTAGAAGCAACTGAAATCAGACAGACCTGGATTCAGATCATAGATGCACAATTAAATCAAATATTTTTGAACAAGCTACTTAACCTCCCCAAGCCTCAGTTTCCACCATGAGATGTGGAATGAGAGGATGCCTCCAAAGGGACCTGGGATGGTGCCTGACAAAATTTCATCTGTCAGCTTCTCCCTGCCCCCTTCACAGAAGACCCAACTCTCTGCAGTAAAAACTAGATTTTCCACTTAATAATCACTGTGTGCCTCAGTTTCCTGGTTTATAAAATAGGGGCATTGAGTCCTGCCCAGAGGGTTATTATGAGGATAAATGAGATAAAGCATGTACATTGTTTAGTACAGGGCCTATTATTTAGTAATTTGCTGTCATTATGCCATCTGGTTAGACATGTTTAATATTGCAATATACACAAGGATTTATAAAAGATGTTTGCCTTTTTTATCAAGTATAAAGGGAGGGGAACTCATTACTTCCTCCATCCAAATTTCCTGTATTCTATGGTATGTCCCATGCACTTACCACAGAAATCTCAATTATTTGGCTTAATGGAAGGGATCAAGAGTGTGGAAAATCTAAAACAGAAGCTAAGGTCCAAATTCTTGGTTTAATTTTATTATGGGAGAAAGAGAAACACTCATTGATGGAATGACACACATTCAAATGGCTACACAATCACATTGGCAAAATGTGCCCTGGTTTTGACAGCCTGGGATCCATCTGGGAGCAGGGAAAGCAAAAATCCTTCAGAGAGTAAATGACTAGAGGAAGACCCATGCTTACTGTGTGCACAGCGTCTTGGAAATCAGTCTCATGCCTTAAAGTGCAGCTTCTTTTGCTTAAGAATAGGCTTCAAGCTTCCTATCCAGTTCTGTTGTAATTATCATCATACTTAACATCAAAACGAGCAAGAAATCTTCAACGTGACAATCTCTAACGTGTCACTGTGCTTTTTTTTTTTGGCTCTAAAATGCCTCTCCTACTACCTGGCATGTTTTGTTTTAATTCCTCAGTCAATGATTCAGTGTTTTGAGTGAAAACACTGACTCTATAGGAGATCTCAGGTAAAACGCAAAGATTCCCTTGATAGGTGACAAACCCTTTTTAGTCATTGGCACATTAATGAGAATTAACAAAATAAGGATAGTTCATTTCTTAGAAATGAGATATAAGGAAAATACCTTTTACTGGGGACATGAGAGAGGATAGGGATGGGAAAAATAGGCAGCTCAGAGTCACAAGCTCAAATGCTTTCAGGAGCAGAACCGGCTGTGTAGAGGGCAATAGGGAGTGGTAGAGTTTGCGGTATCCTAGAGAGTAAGCCTTACCTAAAGATATTCACACTTAAAACTTTCAAGATCATTGTGCTGGCCCAGAAAAATAGGCCTGTTGGTTAAAATGGCTGTTGGTCCATCAGCTTGCAACTGAGACCAAGAGTATAAAGCCAAGAGGAGGCTGTACCATTGGGTAGTCCAGGTGAGATGCTGTAAAGACCCATGCCTGGGTCAGGAGAAGTTAGCTGCAGATGCTGAAGAAGCCACATGTTTGTGTGATAGCTATGTGCAGGGACCAGGGGCATACACACCTCATACCTGAGCATAGGGTTACTCACCCCAGCGGCCAACCACCATTTGGATCACCTGTGGGAGTCCCTGGAACATGAGACCATTATTCTGGGTCAGACACCTGGGAGCCAAACCTTCTGGGAATATTTAAGGCTACCAAAAAGTTCAGGATCCTAGAGAGAGTTCACATCCAGAGAGTAGTTTTCAACACTAACCAGTCTGAGTTCAAACATGTTAGTGGATAGAGAAGTCAGGAAAATGCTTCTTCCTCTCAGCAGGTCCCTTCTCACCCTGCCCCTGTACCTTGAGTAATTTCAGGTGAATGGGCTTAGCATGTGCCAAATAGGGACCTGTCAATCTGATACTATCTCAGAGATAGAGCTTTGGACAAAGCTAAAAAAATATTTTCTAAATAAACAGATTGGACTGAGATGAA